CCCCTTCAGCTGGCTCAGGGAACCCCGGCTGGGGCATTGCCTGCACAGGCCCTGCACCAAGCCGGATCAGGCATTGCAACGAGCGCGTGTTTGCTCGCTCGCTCGCTCTCTTTCGTTTTTATTTTGTTTTAAAGGAGAAACTTAAAAACAGAAACGGCTCGTTGTTGTGCCAAATAATTGGAGCTGGTGAAGGGAGATTGGGTGGCACGCCAGCGGGAGTGAATCAAGAATGCATTACACTTTTTAACAAATGAATTTGGTAGCCATAAAAAGAATCTTGCGGGTCATGTTGGGCGGGTGGGACTCAAACTTTGAAACTGTTAACTTGCCATGTTGCTTCTCTCCTGCCCTCTTTCCTTCCACACACATGTGTACACACACACACACACACCCCTGGGCGATTTGGGGCAGGCGGGCCTCACCCTGCCCCTTGGTGACCAGCCCAGCGGGGCAGTCAAGGCCCAGAAGGTCCAGCGAGAGGCATCCGGGTTTGCCTGGGTTAGAGGGAGGGGGTGCACAACCCGCCAGCCGGCCGTCTTGCCCCAAACGAGGGGGGGGCCCTATGGAAGGCGACTTTGCCCCGTGGGGTGCCCAGGTCCCTCTTGCCCCCCCGGAAGAGCAATGGTGAGCAATTGGCTTCTGGGTTCAGCCCCCCCCCCATCCCTGCCTGGCCCCGTTTCCAAGTCCATCATTGTCTTTGCTTTTGGCGAGGCGGGGGGGGGAGACGTGGGCTTTTTCCTTCTCTCCCCCCCCCCTTTCTGGTCTCATGGATCCTGGTGGGTTTTTGAACAAGTGAGGTTTCTATGGTTTGAAATATTTTCAGTTAGATTTCCTTTTTTTAACCGTCGAATTTTAAAGTGTTAAGTGACAAAGTATTTACTGATAACTTTTTTTAAAAAAAATGTTTTTTCATGAGACACGGTCCTGTCTTTATGAGTGCTTTGATTCAGCAGGGACTTTAAAATAAAATTTAAAAACCACATCTGAGCAGCAGCAGCAGCAGCTCCTAGCTTGAGATATTTTGTCCGTGTAAAGCAGGATTAAAATTGTGTGTAAAAAGGAAAAAAAAATGTAAGTTAGCTCTCATGCTTTTGTGCAGTGCCTTTAGACGTTCCACTTTCTATAAAGTCTTCAACAAAGTTTGCATATATATTATATATATGATGTAATGTTATAGAAATATATGTATAATATACATATTTTTTCCAGGGGTATCTGATAGCTCTGTATTTTGTTATGGAAGTTGATATGAAAAAGTATTTTACCTCAAATTAAAAAAAAGTTAAATAAACCTTTTAAATAAGTCTCCTGGGATGGCTTGGCTCTCCTGCTTTTGTGAGGTTTGCAGGCTCTCCTGCACGCAAGGCGGGGCGAGGGGCCGGTGCTTTCTCCCCGACCCCCAAGGAGAGGTTTGGGGAGGGCTCCCCCCCCCGCCATGGCCCACCCAGGGAGGCTGGGCTTCCTGCGTCTTCCTGACCGAGCAGGTCCCTCCTGCGATGGGTGTCCCCTCTGGGCACCTGCTTCTGATCTCTCACCGAAAGGATGCGGGTTCTGCACAGATGGACTTTGTGCAAATCAGGGGAACCCGGCAGGAAGGGAAAGGCCGCCACCTGCTTGGACGCTGCTCGGACTGGAGCCCCCGGGATCTCGCAGGCCTTCTGGACCCCTTGTTGTTGGGGCGTCTCCTGGAGCCAGGTCAGCCTTCCCCGGGGGGGGGTCTCCTTCGCCCCTCTGGGGCCGGGATGCTCGGAGGCTCTTGTTCCGGGGGAGGGAGCGGGAGGGGGGCAAAGGCAACCGGAGGGCCCCTCCACGGCCGGGAGAGTTTCCTCGGCTTGGGTCTGAAGGCCTGGGAGGGGTTGATGCGGTCCAGCAGATCGGGGACCAGTTTGGATGGGGGGGGTCTGCCTGGAAAGGACCAGGAGTGGCCAGGAGGGAGCAAGCAGGGAGGAACAGCTGGGCCGGAGGGCGGGAGACAGCGGCCGGAAAGCGGCGGAGCATGGGGGTGCCCACGGGGGCCATTTGGGAGCCGTGGTAGTGGTGGGGTGGTCTAGGCAGTCAGGGAATCAGCCAGGAATTGACCGACGGGCTGGCGTGTCTGAGCAGGAGCCCCTGAGCGGGTCCTGCATCTCACGAGGGTGAGGCCCACCCAAGGGACAGCTCTCGCCCTCCCCTCCGGGGGGCACGCCAGGGGCTCCCCTGAGCCCTCCCAGTTAAAGATGGGTCTGGGGAGCCATCTTTGGCGCGTGTGCTGGGAACGGGGGAGAGGGGTGGCCGGCCGTCCCCCTGGGCTCCCGCGAGCAGCTTCTGCCTTCTGCCATTTTATGGGAGCAGGGGGAGAAAGCCTGCCGTGGGAGGCCCCCCTCCGCCTGCCCCCCCATGGAATGCATCCCCGGCAGCCCCCTTGGGACTCCCCAGGGCAGAAGGAGGAAGCTGGGCCCCTGGCTGACCCCCCTCTGGCTGGCCTCGGGAGTGACCGGGAAGAGGAGCGCTGAGCCGGACTCAGGTACGCTTGCAAGGCAAAAGAGTTTGTGGCTGGGGAGTGGATGTTGGGGCAGGGGGAGGTGGCTCTGCCGTTGTGGGTCTCCTGCAAAAGGTGTGTCTCCTCCCGGATCCCCCTTCACCCCATAGTGACTCTCCTCCTGTCTCCCTTCCTGCAGCCTGGACGCAGCCGGTCTCCAAGCGACTGGCCGGCCGGAGGGCTCTGCGGCTCTGTGCGGTTGCTCCCTTTTCCTGCCATCGATCAGGTAATGGCGTTGTCTCGCTTCTCACTGGGACCCCTGCCTCGCTTGTTCCCCTCACCCCACCCCATGGCCCTCTGCTGCACCCGGGGTGGGGGTGGGCTCCCCTCTTCTTCAGGGATGAAAAAGAGGCAGCAGGAGGGAGGGGGGGGTGTCACCTCAGGCCGTTTTTGGCAGGATGTGAAAGGGGGTGCAGAGGCTCCCCTCCTGATTGACTGGGGCAGCCGCAGGAGCTTTGCAGCCGAGCCTGGTCTGCCTTTGGGAAGCAGGACGATGGGCCTGCCTGCCGGTCGCCCTCTGGCAGAGCTGGCTTGGGGGGGATGATGGGAGTTGTATTCCTAAGCATCCGGGAGGCACCAACAGGGAGACGGCTGCTCTGACAGATCAGGCCGTGTACTGTATGGGGTTGCCTTTAGGTCATAAGCAAACGAGGCAGAGAGAGAGAGAGTGAAAGAGAGAGAGTGAAAGAAAGAGAGAGAGAGAGAGAGAGAGAGAGAGAGAGAGACCCTGCCAGCCAAAGATGGGAGCAGCCATCAGACTGAGCCCTTTATTAAAACCAGTCAGAGGCGCACACCGTTGTGTTGTGTCGAAAGCCCTTTTCCTAAGTGAAGCCTACATTTGTGGGGGGTGGGGTGGGGTGGATGTGTGTGTCTGTTTCCAGGAGCTCCTCGCCGCCTTCCCTGCCCGCTTGAGTGGTTCGCGCCTGTCCGGAGTTGATATCCAGCCGAGGTCCAAAGCCCTTCCTCCCCCCTCCCCCCCCCCGGTGTGCCACCTGGGAAGCGAAGCCTTTTTATATAACATGGTCTTAAAGTGTAGTCATTAGCGACACCCCCGCGCCTTTCCCTGATCCCTTAAGGCTTAATTGGCATTGGCAGAAGGACTTCAGGTGTAGCCTCTGGATCAGTCCCAAAAGAGCCGGTTCTTCCTGCTCAGTGAGAACAGAGACCGGAGAATCCAGTTATGAAAAGAGAGAGAGAGAGAGAGAAGGAGGATCCTTCTCGACAGGGAGGAGGAGGAAGAACCTTCTTTCGGTGCCTTTCTCAATCCGAGCCTCGGAAGGAGGCATTGGCCAGGCCGCCGGGGGGGGGGAGGCTTTGGGAGACTTCGGTTTCAGGAGGGCAGGCACACGCCCAGGGCAGCAGCACGTGCCCAGGGGCCAAACCCCTGGGGCCAGCGCAAAAGTCTGAAGATGTAGAAAGGTGACCGAAATGAGTTTATTACCCTTGAGGTGTGTCGGCCAGGATTGGCATCGATCCGGGGCTGTCCCCTTTCATTGCTGCTCCTGGGACAAGAGATGGAGACGGGCCCTTCTCCTTCTCCTCCTCTTCCTCTTCCTCTTCCCCCCCCCCCCCACACACACTCTCTTCTCCTCCCTGCCACCACCTCCCTGTCTCAGCTCTTCCTTCCCTTCCTGGACTCCCTCCTTTTCAGACGGCTTCACCCCCTTTTAAAAATCCCCTTCGAAGCACCGGGCGGGAAGGGGGGGGCCTCCAGGAGGCCCAGCAGGGGAATCGAACCCCCAGCCTCTGGCTCTGCCCCCAGGGAACGAAGCCCCCCCGACTACCCAGCCGTTCTCCGTCTCTCTGGCCCCTCCTTCCCTTTGCAGAAGGCGATTTCCGGACGCTGTAATATCTGGCCCCCCTTCCTCAGTCGGGTCGTGGTTTTCTTTGGCCCACCTGTCTCCCCACCTCTCCTCAAGACAGGCTACATCGGGGGGGGGTCTCCCCCTTGTTTATCCCGCTTTATCCTTACAACAATCCTGTGAGGTAGACCAGCCTGGGAAAGGGTGCCACCCAGAGAGGGTTGGGGGTGTATTTTGGGGGTGTTTCCCCCCCCAAGCACCACCTCGAGTCTCTTTCAGAGGGGAGATAAATATGGGACAAAGAGATCCTGTTGGGGGAAGTCCCGGTTCTCCCCCCCCCTTCCAGTGCCATTTGCAATTCCCCAGAGACAAGGGGTAACAAAATGGATCCGAAGCGGGATGTGCCGAGGCCGGGGCTGCCCTGAAAACCCAGCCGGGATGGAGAAGATCCGCCCGGGTGGAGGCGGCGCGCGCGGGGGCGAAAGGGTTTTCCTCTCTGACTTGCCTTGTTCAAAACAAGGAGGAAAAGCCATCGACTTGCTCAGGGTCCCCTCCCACCAGGAAGGATTGGGGGATTTTCCTTCTTGCCTGGCTGCGTAGCGTGTAGACACCTGTCGGGCAAGGCACCCACAGCAGCCCCCGCAGCAGCCCCCACCCCAACGGGGGAACCTTGCTCCTTCCACCCTCCCCTCCCCGCCCCCTGCGCATGCCCCCCCCCCATATCTGGGTCTACCTGAATTCTCAGGCCTGCCTCTCTTGATCCCACCAAAAGTTTGCTCCCCTCCTTCAGGCAGAAGACAGGCTGGTGGGGGTGGGGGTGGGGGGGGCGGCGACCTGCAGCCCTAGCTGGCCCCTAATAATTCATTAATTAGTGTTCTGTAAGGAATCAGGTCAAGCCCAAGCTAAAGGCGATAAGGAGGCCCAAAACAGGGGAAAAGGTAATGAGTGTTTTTTTTGGGGGGGGGCTGATGGTGGTTTTTGAGGAGATGCTTTGCCCTTGCTCCTGCCCTGCTTGGGCTGTCAGCAGCTCTCTGCTTCCAGCCCACCTGGTGGCAGGATCCGGCCCTTCCCTGGCCCTGCCCTTGATCCCCTCCTGCCCGCTTATCTCAGCCTCCTGGCCAAAGAGAGAGAGAGAGAGAGAAGAGGCTGCTGCCGGTTCCGATGCCCTGTAATCGGCTTTGCCCTAATAGCATTACGGGGTTTTTTAAACAAACAGACCCGTGACCTCTTTGGCGGGTTGATGCTCAGCAGGCAAGAGGGAGCTGCTGAAAGGGCAGAGTGTGGGGTGGCCCCATGGTGGTGGTGGAGGAGGAGGAGGAAGAGGAGGAAGAGGAGGAAGAGGTTTGGCTGAGAAGGGGGCAGGCAGCTCTCCAGAGAGCCTCCCCCGGGGGGGCTTCCCCTCCCCAAAGAAGCCCTGCCTTTGTGCAAATGCCGAGGAGAACTCCCTCCTGCAAAGGGAGGCCCGTGTCCCTGCCTCAGTCACGACAACGGGTGGCAGGGTGCCCAGGGGGCAGCTCCACGTGGAGAGTGGGGTTCATTCCAGAGGAGAGCTCCAGAAAAAAAAAAGCCTTTTATAAAGGCCATCCTCCATTCACATCCTCCAAGGCAGCCCCCTTCCTTCCTTCCTTCCTTCCTTCCTTCTTTTTATTCATCATCAGCTCCTTCCTTCCTTCCTTCCTTCCTTCCTTCTTTTTATTCATCATCAGCTCCTTCCTTCCTTCCTTCCTTCCTTCCTTCTTTTTATTCATCATCAGCTCCTTCCTTCCTTCCTTCCTTCCTTCCTTCTTTTTATTCATCATCAGCTCCTTCCTTCCTTCCTTCCTTCCTTCCTTCTTTTTATTCATCATCAGCTCCTTCCTTCCTTCCTTCCTTCCTTCCTTCTTTTTATTCATCATCAGCTCCTTCCTTCCTTCCTTCCTTCCTTCCTTCTTTTTATTCATCATCAGCTCCTTCCTTCCTTCCTTCCTTCCTTCCTTCTTTTTATTCATCATCAGCTCCTTCCTTCCTTCCTTCCTTCCTTCCTTCTTTTTATTCATCATCAGCTCCTTCCTTCCTTCCTTCCTTCCTTCCTTCTTTTTATTCATCATCAGCTCCTTCCTTCCTTCCTTCCTTCCTTCCTTCTTTTTATTCACCATCAGCTCCTTCCTTCCTTCTTTATTCATAATCAGCTCCTTCCTTCTCTCATCAATTCCTTCCTTCCTTCCTTCTTTTTATTCATCATCAGCTCCTTCCTTCCTTCCTTCCTTCCTTCCTTCCTTCCTTCCTTCCTTCCTTCCTTCCTTCCTTCCTGCCTTCCTGCCTGCCTTCCTGCCTTCCTTCCTCCCTTCCTTCCTACTCCCTTTCTTTGGTAATTGATCTTCAGGGTTTACACAGCGATTCCTTTGAATTCGGATTTCAGATTTCACAAACACAGAAAGACGGCCTCGAGACACGATGAGATGTTCCCTTAATCCTGGGTCTAGGAAGTAGTGCTCTTCCAAATTATGGTTATTGTTAGAGATGGGCACGAGTCAGAAAAAAATGATGATTCGGGGTGGTTTGTGGCTACCCACGAATCACCCCCAAATTCCTTCCTTCCTTCCTTCCAGGTATTATTACGGCAAACAGATTCTCCATAAGGCCAAAGGAAGGCGCTTCACCTACAGGTTCAACTTCAGCAAACTGATCTTTGTCAGCTACCCACCGTGGGGCACCCACCCCTCTCCTAGGGCACTGTTGACGGGGATGGTGGGGATGCCCCAGCCCCACAGAGGGACCATCGGCGCCCCAATGGAGGTAGCCGCCGCGGTCGTCTCAGGCCAGAGCTCAGAGGAGGACGAGGAGGAAGGGAGCCGGGCCAGGCCGGGTCAAAGGGGCTCCTTCAGGCCCCGGGTTCCTCGCCCTTTCCAGCTTCTGCCCGATGCAGTCATTGCCCGAAGGGCTGGCGCTGAGCCCCTCCACCGGCTCCCCCCCCCCCGCCCAGGGTGACGAGGACCTTAGAGACTCAGCAGGTGCCCAGGAGAAAAGAGGAGGAGGAGGAGGTGGTCCTGGTGGCTGGAAGTAGGGGCCCCCACTGGTTTTTGGTGCTGGGAAGGGGACAGAATTCCACCCCCAGACCAGGTGTCTCCACTCCCCACCACAGGCAGCAAAAAGCAGCAGCCGTGATCCTCTTGGGATCTCTGCCCTTTAAAGAGGATGAATTCAGGAGGAGGAGGAGGAGGAGGAGGAGGGCAGGGGCCGTTCAGAGATCCACAGAGTCAGACCAAAGAACTGTGAACTGATGAACAGGGGTGGTTGAACCATTAATA